AAGTGAGACAAAGGAGAGCTGGTTTTGGAGGGATTCCAGAGCTGGTTGACTAGGATGATCCCAGGGCTGAAGAATTTGTTATTCGTGGAGTGGTTGAGGATCTGTGTTTGCACTCGATGGAGTTTAGAAGGATGAGGGGGACTCTCATTGAAACATACAGAATTCTGAGAAGCCTGGATACAGTGGATGGTGGAGAAGATGTTTCCACTAGTAGGAGAGACTAGGACCCAAGGAAACAGTCTCACATGAAGGGATAACACTTTAGAACTTAGATGAGGAGGAATTTCTTCAACCCAGGAATGGTGAATCTGTGGAACTCATTGCCATGGAAGGCTATGGAGGCCAAGTCATTGAGTGTATTTAAGACAGAGATAGATATGTTCTTGATTAGATTTAGGATCAAAGGTTAGGGGGAGAAGGCAGGAAAAAGGGGTTGAGAAACATATCATCCATGATCAAATGGTGGAACAGACTTGTATGGCCGAATCACCTAATTCTGCTCCTTTATCTTATGCTCTTATCACTGAGGTATTAATGAGGATGAAAGGAGGCAAATCCAGAAAGGGCAGGATCTCATACAACGCAGGAGGGGATGGGGGCTGCAGGAATGGGGAGTTTGCACAAATTAGAAACACCCTCACTCAATATGAAGAGGGCAAATGGCTAAAAAGGTCAAAGCAATTCACAAAGTCATGGCTTCAGGGTAAATTGGAAACATCAACAGTAATATAACGGGACTGAATGAAAACTAGGTGAGGCTGAAAGGTAATTGAGGATGCAGGGACAGTAGCACAAAAGGAAACATGGGGATGGATGGATCATCATTAGTCTCATCAGTCACATGCAATTCACTCACAAGGACATTAATCTTGCTCCCTTCGCACCTAATTCAATTGCACAATAAAGAGACAAAATGTTTTCTACTGCATGCAGAATGGGCAGGATAAGTTACTGTTTTTCTCTTTGAGAGTGGAGCACAGTTACTTGCATTTGAGGTCTGCTCGGAGCAATTGTATTAATCATGCATCCACTGATTGTGTAATTCCACCCAACTCCCATCAAAATGAATTCTACTGAAAGCCAATTCTTTGGGCACCATGATGACTTCAACCTCTCACTTCAAGCAATCATGACCACTACATACTTTGAAGCAGTTCCTGTATTCATGTCAAATATGCAAAGCTACACAGGCACACACTTAACAGCATCGCCTATGTTGACCATTTCTGCACCACTTTTCATACCTGACACCTGAAGACAATAAAAACCGAAAGAACTGGGGATGCTGTAAATCAGGAATAAAAACAGAAATTCCCGGAAAAGCTCAGCAGTTGTAGCAGCATCTGTGAAGAAAAAATCAGAGTTAATGTTTTGGGTCTGGTGACCCTTCTTCAGAACAGAGGAAGGGTCATGGGACCCAAAACGTTAACTCTGATTTTTTCTTCACAGATGCTGCTACACCTGTTGAACTTTTCCAGCAACTTCTGTTTTTATACCTGAAGACAATAGTTTGGAGCTGCCATATTACACTTTAAGTATGCAATAATATGCATTGATGTTCAAAGGTGGTTCTTTTGGCAGAGCGTACTAACAAAGAGGTTCCTGCATTTAACTCACCCAATGGAGCACTTGCTCTTTGGTCCTGCAACATATATCTGTAGAAAGTTACAGAGCTCAGAGCTCCTTATCTAGGCATGACATTAGCCTCTTGATGAAGGTGAAGCCTCCATGCCATAATATGAGAGGCCAAAACACGTCGCTTTATTGTGATTGATGTGAGGGATCAGGAGTACCGATAGTGGTACACTAAAATCACTGAAATGTGTCATCAATGAGAGAAGGACTTGTGTTCAGAAGGAAAGACCGAGCATCTCATCCCACTGCCCATCAAGGCTACAGCTACACTGAATTTTTATGCCAGAAGCTCATTCTAAGGAACAACCTGGGAGCTCTGTGGCACTTCCCAATTCTTAATGCACAAATACATCAGGGGAGTCACAGTTGCTATTTTCTCCAGATAACACCATTTTAATAAACTTCCCACAGCAAGGATAGTCAAGTAGCTTGGGCAGTATGATTCTCCACCATCACTGTCTTTCCCCCTCCCATCGTGAATGGCACTGATGATCAGCCATGATCATATTGAATGGCGGAGCAGGCTTGAAGGGCTGAATGGCCTACTCCTACTCCTATTTTCTATGTTTCTATTCACTGCACCCATGTTGCTTTGAGAGTGCTCTGTTGTCAACCTGCAAAGCTTGTCGACCAAAACATCTTCCACTCCATCAATGTCCTATTCGTCTAGGACCATTCACTCCAGATTTTGGAGATGTGTGTCTGGTATTCCGGGAGAACTAACAAGTTCTTGCCTCCTTCCAAGGTCTTCATGCCATATGGAGATGGCTGCTAGAATTCAAGGGCTACCCCCTCTAAACATGGCTGATGACCCCTTCATGAAACCCTCAGCCTAAAAGACAAGACAAAGCTGTCTGTTCTCCCACTTGACCGATAGTGAAACAAATCCACAAACCTCTTTCAAATGAGGTATTGATATTGGTTTGATCCGGTGGGACCTGCATTCTAACCCAGATGCTGCAAACAACAGACTGGCCCTTACACCGTGGTCCTGTACCTTTCGAACTCAAAGTGTGGTGCAGAAAGCAAAGTAGGCACTCCATTTCACTAACAGGAACCTGAACGTACTGGTGGACAGAGTGGTCATCAGAAGGGCAGGAGTCTTTCCTCCAGATTACCAAAGGAGGCCATACCACCAAGTGCACCCATGTCAGTGTGCCGAGACAAAGTTAAGGACATTCTGCACCCTGCAAGGGTAAGTCCCACCATTTTCACTCTGTTCCCTCATACTCACAAGGTCACCACTACTCACTCACTCTCCCTTTGGACACACCTCCTACAAAGGCTTTTACAACAAATTCACCTAATGTCTCTCACCCACCTCATTCTTCCAAACTACTCACCCTTCAGCCCGCTGCACTTTCTACTAACTCACTGAGGACATCTCACCACCCCTCCTGCCTTCCATCACCAGTAGTGCCTTTCCCACCCATTTCCATCAGACTCAAACGCTTCCTTTGTGTCATCCAGGAAAATAAAAATTTCATAACTGGTCCAAAAAGCCCAAGACTGACAGCGAGGTGATTAGCTCCTATTCAATGGAATGAAGGATTCCCTATTCACAGGGATCGTGATGGCCGAGGGGTATTATCACTGGACTGTTAATCCAGAGACCCGGATAACGTTGTGGGAATCCAGGTTCAAATCCTGCCAGATTGTGGAATTTGAATTCAATAAAATATTTGGAATTAAGAATCTAATGATGACCATGAACCCATTGTCAATTGTTGGGAAAAAAACATCTGGTTCACCAGTGTCCTTTAGTGAAGGAAACTGCCATCTTTACCTGGTCTGGCCTACGTGTGACTCCAGACCCATCAGCAATGTGGTTGACTCTGAACTGAGGGATGGGCAATAATTGCTGTCTGGTCAGTGATGCCCTCATCCCATGAATTAATAAAGGAAAAAAAAATTCCCCCACACCCACACTCACCTATCCTGTATCAATCACTTAGAGAGATAACTATTTGTATGTTAGTTGCTGGATTATTTCTTGAAATTACTTTTGAAGTAAAAAGAAATCAAAAGTTTAGAAACTGCCCACCACTGCACCAATTCCACACCCTCATCCTTGTAAATGTTCCGGTCCACCTCTTCAACTCTTATCTGTAGTGTCACACCCAAAAACCTCAGTGCCACTCTCTCCCATAGTCAGCCATTAATGCTTGTGTACAGCACATTATTGCCAATGTTCTCAGCTCCTCCAGATAATTCAGATAATGAGATCATTCAGTCACTACAATAACTGTATTCTCTGTTAATGTATGCAGCCAATAAACAACTCAGGAAGTGCTGGCTGTACAATGAAATGATGGTAACACACAATCAGTACGAAGTTGGCATCCTGCCTGCATTTTAACTAACAGGTGTAGGTTAATCATCCATTGGGATTCTTTCACCCATTTTCAGGAGTTATCCAATTCCAGTTGTTAGTAATTTGTGTGCTCATTCTACGTGTGATCTTCTTTCTTATAATATTGGAAAGAAACTATATTTTGACTGAGAAAAACGATGAAATGTCATAGAAATGTGAATGAAGTGCTTCATCATTCAAAACATTTTCCTTTCGCGTTTCCTCCTTATATGGTCTACTACGTTCTTGTAAGAGACTTAACATCTGAAGTTGAATCGAGGCTCGATTTTGCGTAGTGCAGGTTTTGAATTCCTCAAAGTAGATAACAATGCTCAGTAAACAAGTCGAAGGTGGCAAAGATGCAAGAAGGAAGGTGAGATTTTCTTCAGTGGCTAGTAAAATGTTAAATCTGTTCAGTTACTATTTTTAAAATGACACAGTTATAACAGGAGAAATCCAATTAACGTAGCACTAGAGAACAAAAACAAAACCCGATATATCCACATTATTAAAATTACAATGAAATACACTAAATCATGGTGTTTTTAGGGCCTCATCCATTATTATTATCCAAAATTAGGGCAGGGCTAAGGTAATACACAATGCCACACAGTATTTACAGCACTTAGCAGGTATTCAGCCCCAGTAATTCGGCATGGTGACTCAGTGGTTAGCCTCACAGCACTAGGAACCTGGATTCGATTCCACCCTTAGGTGACTGTCTGTGTGGAGTTTGCACATTCTCCTCCTGTCTGCGTGGATTTCCTCCGGGTGCTCCGGTTTCCTCCCACAGTCCAAAGATTTGCAGGTTAGGTGGGTTGGCCATGCTAAATTGCCCATAGTGTTCAGGGATGTGTAGATTAGGTGGGTTATAGGAGGGATGGTTCTGGGTGGGATGCTCTGAGGGTTGGTGTGGACTTGTTGGGCCCAAGGGCCTGTTCCACACTGTCAGGATTTAAAACAAATAATGTCCATGTTAACGTCTATGCTCTACAATAACCTTCTCTGTTAATCATCGAAATCCAAAAATACATTCTTCCATTTCCTTCTCCCCTGGAGCTTTCCCTCGAATCAGGGTTTGTTCAATCTTTTCAGGTGAGAAGCCATATTTAAAGTTTTCTCACTCATGGGACTGAAGAACAAATTTTGCAAAGATAAGGCTTGGCACAACATTAAACAGGAATTTCAAAAGAAAAGTCAAGGTTTGAAAAAAAAAGTAGAAACAACTTACTGTGCAAAAAAAAGTCAAAACAATAATTGGTCATTTAAAATTGAGTAATGAATAAAAATGGCCATTAAAAAATGGTAAGGAGCAGAGCTAACTAATAAAACAAACTTTTGCCTTTTCACTGAGGAAACAGTGCTTGAGGGAGTCGGACTAGGCTGTGGGCCCTGATCACCAGGATGGGGCAGAATTGATCTAACATTAACTTGCATTCACATTTAGGGGGGCACACACCAAGTTAGCCACAACAGGATTCAACCAAAAGTGAGAGCCTGAAGCAGGTTGTCTTGTGGTTTGGGTTATCCTCCACATCGTCTGAGCTCACTGAAACGCACACTCACACATACACATGCATACACATACCTTTATCCACCTCTTATGCATAATGTTCTCCACAGTTAACAGACCTAAAGGGCAAACCAAACCAAATGATCCATTACCCCATCCCCAATGTGTCCTGTGACTTTATCCAGAGGAACCTCAGCTCTCCAAAGGGATTCCCGGTATCCAAAAGAAATGCACTGAGAACAGGCCTACTCCTTACTTGGTCTAAAACATACACTCTAAGTTCCAGACACTAGGGACTCTGAAATCTAATTTCAGTGGAGGGAGTTTATCATTCAGATAGTCAGCTGACTCCGGGAACCATAGATGCACATACTACAGCCTACGCCCAATCCCACCCCCACAAAAATGAGAGACTGAGGTTTTCTGATTATTTGTGGTGCAATGACGGTGTTTTCTATTGTGGCAAAAGTTGGGGCTGAATTCTTAGATGTGCTCACACACATATGTGCACTCAAATGTACACAAAATCTCACACAGCTACTCGTACACTCTAACACATCCACACCATATACACAAACTCTGTGGCTCATGTCAATCTCACTCACACAAATGCACATACATCCACACACTCTCTCACACACATTCATATATTCTCACACACTCACTCATTCATACTCTTACACACAGACTCACACTCACAGTCATCACACACTCAACCACATTCATTCTTTTACACAAATTCATGCACACAATCACACACACATTCTTGCTCATATACACACTCTCTTCTCATAACCTGACAGAGACTCACTCCAGTGATAATATTCCTTTTGCAATATGGAGATCAGTTGTACACAGCAATCTAATATTTAACCAAAGTTATAAAGAATTTTAATACAACTTCCCTGTTATTCATTTCTATCCCTCTGGAAATAAGCAAAATTCTTAGTTTATTTATGGCCTTATTAGTCTATGTGATTACGATAAGTGACTTGTGCATCTGTACCCTTGGATCTTTCTGCTGTTCTAACCCATTTTTAGGCACTTACTTTCCAGGAAGTTTTATTCTTCTGACCAAATGATATCATTTTGTACTTAATTATATTGAAATTAATTTGCCAATTAGGTGCTCATTTTGCAAGTTTATTAACATCTTCCTATATTTTATCACAGTACGCTGCATTACCTACATACACCAATTTGGTTACACCCACAATTGGCTTCAACACTTCAGAACTGAGAAGACAATAAATCAGTTAGATTGCTTGAATACTCTTCAACAACAAACAACAACCTGCATTTATGTATCACTTCTAATGTAATGAAATGTCGTAAAGCATCAAAAAACAAAAAAAAAACATTTTTGATGTTCATGCCTTTATGATGGACCATGTTTTTATGGTGAATAGATTGATGGATATTTTCAGTCTTGTCCAGTCAATATCAAGCAGGAAAGATTGATGTTGAGTCTTGCAGAATACCCCAACGTTTGAAAAGCACAGCACTGAACTGAAAAATTCCAACATGTATGTGAATGGAAGAAACCAAATTAATCTTTCCTATTCTCTTTCACTTAGATATATACAACAGATAACTAGATTCAAACATATGGCCCAAACTGATTCAGATCAAACTCCCACTTAACCTCAGACAAGAATTATTGTTTGGCCAAACCAGATCAAATAGAACAACATTAAATTAAATTTAATTTATATTTGAATTGTCAAAGATACCAGTCTAGGAAACAGAAATCCATTAAAAATAGTACTTTGTTTAACAGCCTCTGAATTATAAGATGAATACTGTAGCAAGGCTGTGTCTTGGTCATTGTAATCAAGGTAAGTGGAATATAAATGAAAATCAGAAGAATTAAACAATTATAAATGCAACAACAGCTTATGATGTAAACTTTGTAATATCTCAGCATTAGCTAAGCAAGTCTACAATAAAATCAGCAAGGGTACACAAAGTACGGGCCAAGTTTAGATTCCGATTGAATTAGATGGGTTTCTGAAAGGGTTGACAATCCTCTTAGCTAGGTCACTGCTCAGCTTCTAAACACAAAGCACTATCCTTCATATCTATATGTAGACACTAAAACATGATTTTTCTCTCCAATAGTGGCCAGAAAACTGTCTTACCACTGTGTGCTTACATATATTTATAGCACGTATGCCAAGAAACAATAGATAATTATATAACAATGCAATTTATACTGACTGCTCAATTTGCTGAGCATTACCCATCGTTGTGATGAATTGAGAAGATTCTACTTATTTCAATTCAGGCAGTGCAAGGCCCAGACAAACATACAACAATGAAACAGGAGCAGAGGTAGATCATTTATCTTCTTGAATCTGTCCCACCATTCAATAAGATGATGACTGATCTGTTTGTAGCTCAACTTTCACATTTTCATCTACCTCAGATCACTGTTAATTCCCCTGCCTAACAAGAATCTATCCATCTATGTCTTAAAAATATTCAATGACCCAACTTCCACCACCTCTGAGGCAGAGTGTTCCAGAGCTGCACCACCCTCTGAGAAAATAAACTCATCTCTGTCCTAACTGGTTCACCTTTTCAAGGCCATTCAGGATCTTATACACTTCAATAAAGTCACCCCTCAATCTTCTAAACTATGGTGGAAACAAGCCCAGCTGTTAACCAATCCTTGAAAGACAACCTACTCATTTTACGTATCACTCTCTTAAACCTCCTTCAATACACTGACATCCTTCTTTAAATAAGGGGACCAAAACTGCACACAGCATTCAAGATGTGGTCTCACTCAATGCCCTGTGTAACTGAAGCAAAACATCCTTACTTTTACATTCAATTCTTCTTGTATTAGGGGACAACATCTGATTAGGCTTTATGATAATGTGCTGTACCTGCATACTAACATAGTACAGAACAGCGCAGGAACAGGCCTTCAGCCTATGATGTTGTGCTGAACATGATGCCAAATTAAACTGAGATAGCAAGGTGTACAGCTGGATGAGCACAGCAGGCCAAGCAGCATCAGAGGAGCAGGAAAGCTGACGTTTCGAGTCTGAACCCTTCTTCAGAAAAATGAAATTTTTCTAAAGAAGGGTCTAGACCCAAAACGTCTCCAGTATTGGCAGTTCCTACTATCGCCAAATTAAACTATTCCTTCTGCCTGCCCTTGGTCCATATCCCTCCATTCCTTGCATGTTCATGTGTCTATCTAAAAGTCTGTTTAATGCCCTTATCATATCTGCCTCAACCACATCCGTGGCAGTGCATTCCAGACTCCTACCACTCTCTGTGTAAAAAAAACTTGCCCCTCACTCTGGGAAAAGGATTCTGACAGTCAATCCTATCAATGCATCTCCAAATCTTACAGACTTCTATCAAGTTTCCCCTCAACCTCCACCGCTCAAGAGAAAACAATGTGAGGTTTTCTAGCCTCTCCTTATAGTTCATACCCTCCAATCCAGGCAGCATCCTGATAAACCTCTTCTGCACCCCCTCCAAAGCCTCCCCGTCCTTCCTGTAATGTGCCGACCAGAAATGAATGCAATACTCTAAATGTGACCTAAACATAGTTTTATAAAGCTGCAACATGACATCTTGATTCTTGAACACAGTTCCCCAACCAGTAAAGGCAAGCATGTCATATACCTTCTTTACCACCCTATCGACTTGTGTGGCCACTTTCAGGCATTTATGGACTTGAACCCCAAGATTCTTCTGTGCATTAATGCTGTTCAGGGTCCTGCCATTAACTGTGTACTTTTCCTTAACATATGATTTCGCAAACTGCAGGACCTCACACTTACCCGGATTAAACTCCATCTGCCATTTTTCTGCCCATATCTGCAACTGTTCTGTACCCTTTGACAACCTTCTACAATATCCACAACTCCACCGATCTTTGTATCATCTGCAAACTTACTAACCCACCCGTCTACATTTTCATCTGTCGTTTATATGTATCACAAACAGCAGCGGTCCAAGTACGGATCCCTACGGAACTCCACTAGTCATGGACCTTCAGCCTGAAAAACCCCTTTCCACCACTACCCTCTGTCTCCAATGGGCGGGCCAATTTTGAATCCACGTGTCCAAGTCCCCGTGGATCTCATGCATCTTAATCTTCTGGATGAACCTATCATGAGAGACCTTGTCGAAAGCCTTACTAAAATCCATGTAAACAACATCCACTGCTCTACCTTATCAATCACCTACATCATCTCCTCAAAAATTCAGTCGTTAGTAAGACATGACCTGCCCTACACAAAGCCATTCTGACTGTCCCAAATTAGGCTATGCTTTTCCAAATGTGCATAAATCCTGTCCCTAAGAATTCTCTCCAACAGATTCCCAACCACCAATGTGAGACTCACTGGTCCAGTGTCCTGGATTATCCCTATTTCCCTTCTTGAACTGAAGAACATTAGCTACTCATCAGTTCTCTCCAGTGGCTAACGAGGATCGAAGGATTTTGATCAAGGCCCCAGCAATCTCCTCTCTTGCTTCTATCAGTAACCTGGAGTAGATACCATCAGGCCCTGGGGACTTATCCATGTGAATGCTCTTCAAGAGAT